CTTCGGCCACCTCCGCTGGTACTCACGCACACCTCATGGCATCCATGCGTCCCGAGGCATCAATGTCAGCAATGGACATGTCGGGGATGGCATCGACCTTCTCGAGCAGCACACGCGTCACACTTTGGTTCACAGAATGGACGACGACAACAACGGCGACCTACGTGCTTACGATCTTCTTCCTCTTCTCCTTGGGCATCTTCAATCGTTTTCTGAGTGCTTTCAAGAGCCAACTGGAGAGAAAATGGAGGATGCAACACGAGACCGAGAGCACATCACAGTCCATGCCCAACACGGAGAAGCTGGTCAACCACAGTGTTCGTGGCCATGCACGGCAATGGAGCCGTGCGCTGCGACAACAGCCTCTCGAACTGGATGATAAGGACAGGCAAGAGATTGAGCCTTTGAGTCCAGTCGTACCACAACCAACTGCAGCGGAAGAGACTGGTATTACACGAGGCTCAAGTGCATCACGTAAGACTTTCTGGGTGGCACAAGCACCCTGGAGCGTGAAAAAAGATGGGATAAGCGCTGCTTTGGAGTTTAGTCGAGCATTGATCGGCTACGTATTGTACGTTCGTGAACGAAACCTTTGAAAGCTGAGATGCTAACAACACAGTAGAATGCTTGCCGTCATGACTTACAACATCGGCTTCCTATTTGCTGTCACTGGAAGCGTACTCCTTGGCGAGATGGTATTTGGGCGATACACACGAGGCTCTGCAGGTCTAGCTGAGGACGGCTGCCATTCTTGAGTAGTACTTGACAGATACATACAAAGTGTGATGCGCGAAATACAGTTCTGTGGCCTTGCGAAACTACGAAAACGAGTTCAAATGTAAATGCAGACTTGCGTATTCAGATTTCACATCGGATAAAGATGATGTGAATCCATACCGACAGCAGCATCGTCGATTTAATACGTTGAACACGAAATCTGTAACCTTAAAACTGACATGCGAGATTCGCGATCTCGGTTTGTTATTTCGAGTTTGGTGTATTGGTGAAGTTGCTCATCCCAGCCCTTTACCATCCTCTTTTCGGTCCTCCTTTCGGTCCTCCTTTCGGTCCTCTTTCCGGCGGCAGTCACACCGCATCTGGGGTGGGGCACTTTAGGCAGCCATGCTGTCGTGTTCGACGCCGAACAAGAGACACTCACCACAACTTCTGACGCGGCAAACCTGCCGGACCAGAACATCATGGAGGTAAGTACGAGATTTCGACATTCCATTGCGTGCGCACTTGCCTTGGATGCGTCGCGAAGGCAGCCGGAACGCCGCCGATGAGCAAAACCATACAGGCTGAGAGCGACCAAGTTCTACCATCGATTGCCCATTGCGTCGCACTCGCTGACTGATTTTCAGGCTCTGCGCCGTCCGGCTGCGCATATAGTGTCGAAAGATACTATCGTCAATCCACTAGCTCCTCTTCCAGATGAGCTCATCCTGGAAATATGCGAGGTAAGTTATGCTCCGGGTCTTTTATAAGTACGTTCAAACGATAAGCTTTTTCGTGCAAGCAGATGTGTTGCATATACTGACTTCCGTTCTCACTCATATAGCGCGTTTTCCCGTGGGATGGATCTGCGCGATCAACTTGTGATAGAGCCTCAGCAAGGTCTACCTTTGCCGCTCTTGCTAGGACCTGCAAGTACCTGTATCTCTTCGGTATGCGATTCCTCTATGAGAGCTGCGAGATCTCCAATCCCGAAAACTTAAGCGGCTTCCTCCGCACATTACACGACCATCCTGAAATAGCGTCATACGTCCGCGAGCTGTTGATCGGCGGATCCTGCGACAGGAGTTTTGCAAGTGGCAATCATCTGAGCATGAGCAAGGCAGAGATGACTGCACATATCCGAACATTATCCCTTCCTTACGAAAGCACTTTGGTCGAGGCCGTTGCTCTTCATCCGGAAGAAGTAGAGCTGGCGCTTCTTGTCTTGGAGGCTCGCACCGCTCTCCAAGTCCTTTCCAGATTGCATCACCGTTATAGTAGTCGTGGTTACTGCTCTACTACTCCATTGTGGGATCTGCGTAGGCATGGATTCCATTCAGTACCTGAAGACGATGCACATACGCCTCATCGGTATCTCTGGCTTACTCCCTTGCTTCACGCAGCCCAGCAGTATGTAACTGCACCAGCCGATACATCAATTGGGTTCGCGAAACTCTGTTTTCTGTCACTCGACATGACAGGAATACCAATGGCTAAGATAGCTCCCGTATTACATCTGCCATCGCTCAGGACCTTGGAGCTTCACGACATATCATACGGTGTCCCAACAATTGGCATCGATCATGGGTCTTGGAATATACTTCCAAGGTCGTCTAAGGTGCAAAACATCTCCATAGTCTCGCCGTCCGAACCGCCATTAGATCACATAACACAGTTGTTACAATCATGTGCGACTGTGTCAAGCTTCCGATGTGATCGACCCGATAAACCCGATGACAACGTAGTGGATTGGCATTCCACACTTCTCGAAGCTGCAAGATCACATAGCGAAACCCTCGAAAAGCTCGAACTTCGGACCGACGAAAATGGTGCACTTACCTGGACGGACGAATGGCCGCGAAACTATGTTTTATCTGAAATGGAAGAATTAGAAGAACTGGAACTGCACTACACTGCCGTTGTGGGCAAACAACGAGGAATCCATTACGATGAACTACCGGAGACGCCAGAACCTGCCCGATCGCTCCGTGATCTACTGCCGCCAAATTTAGTTGAGTTAAGACTAAAGTATGATAGATCCGCTATGAACGCCAATGTCGACTACACCGCGGAGCTACGGGAACTTGTTCAAGACGATATAAACTTCCCCCGCAAGCTCAAAAAGGTGAGCGTTCATTACGTTCATGACGGTGTGCAGTTCACATTCCCCTTTTCGCTCCACAGCCTTCAGGAATACTTCAACGCACACGGTGTCGACTTTCACTATATTGTCAAGTGCGAGATAGACAATAAACGTAAGTGCTTCATGTACCCGTAAGCTCGGCACACTCTGATAGCTTTGTTGTAGATGAGCTGGACTACTTAGTGGCGACTCTGGCTGCCATGGGCCACGGGGGCGCTTATATGTGTAAATGGTTCATAACCGATGACAACTTTTGGATGACATCCGAAGCACTGCACGACAGGGTAATGGAAGAGATCAGAGCAGCTGAGAAACGCCAAGAGGCGCATTAGTCTGAGGCGACGATAATGACACGGCCACGATGGACTCAGAAAGCTTGGGTTTGATCAGCAAGCTGCGCCTACAAGCTGTATTCGATTGAACTGTCTCTAGGTCCTACACGCTTCATTTCCAGCTGTCTCCATCCCAAATCACCAAGTGACTTCCCCCGATCGTTGGAGGGGCGATCATACTCATGTCGGAAAACTGTAATCGATTCCAGAATTCTGCCACGCTGGCAGCCTTCATTGGCATCCAGCCAAAGTAACGTTGCGAACCAACTCGCGGGTTTCGCGAGACATGGTCTTCTGGACGGTAGTCGGCGTCCACAGCCTTGATGATGGAAGCGGTGGGGTCTGATAGAGCTTCGTCATCGGCAAAAAGGAATATTCGGTGTAGGTCGTAGTCCGTATTCATTGGTTGTTCGCCCTCGCCTTTATTGTACAGCTCGCGAAGTTGATCCACATCGAGACCAGCCAGCGCAGGGTCTGACCGCGCATCGAGGCGGAAGAGCGCCCACACTTGTTGGAAGCCAGATTCGTCTTCTTCGGTTCCAGTCGCTTCTAGAGCCCCTTCGCGCGCATCGGTTTGGATCTTTTGGAGAAGTCGCTGCCATTGCTGATCAGATGAAGGTCCGTATCCCGTACGGTAGATAGTAAAGCCCCAGTTCCTGTGGCGGACAAATTCATCGTCTTCATAGACGCAGAGATTCTTTATCCATTCTTTGACGGTGGTAGTCATTGGGGAAGGAAAGGAAGATGTTTTAAATTCGGAGAAATACGGATGGAGAGATTGTAATGAGATGCGAATGCAATCGTTTCGAGATATAACCGCTTGATTGAAGATTTATGTAACCACACGGGGTTTGACGTGTTTATAGCGTTCACATTACAAGAGTTGAGGCCTGAATACCTAGGCAGCCATCTGCGGGTGGGTCTGCGCACAGACAGTGCTGCATTGCGACTCTCCTGCATAGGCAGGTATATATTTGAAGTGCGCGGGCGAGGTTTGAAGGTAATTTAGGTTTTTAGATATATTCATAGCAAAGGTACTCAGATATTCTATGAATCAATTCCTTGGCCAAGTATTGGTTGACAAGGTTGCGCCAATCCATGGGTACCAAACTTCGCGAACTTCCCAGCCACCATATGGACCCTATCAACGACGCTTCAATGCAACTCATACCCAATGAAAATTTGGACTCGTGCGCGTGGGCGATTTCATGTTGCGAATGCAAGGTCCTTGTCTCTTTTTTCTTTCGCACACTACGACCTTTGCCAGATCATAGCACCACCTGGGCACTTCAAGACGGATGAAGAAGATTCGCAAACAAATACGACAATAAATGCACCGCATTTTCTTCTCTCAAGATGCCTTCGCAACTACCTCGCTCAAGGACCCGGATTGATTTCGTCCCGAAAGTGCGCCGACCACGCGAAAAAAGGTCACATGCGTCGCTGCGAAAAAGCACCCTTACTGCTGTTTGCAAGAGCACAATGCTGGAAGTACCGCCCAGACAAGAGCCCAATCATGGTCTGCAGTACTTCCCTCTATGGCTAGCTGCTAAGGCAATCTGGCTCGGGATGGACTGGTGCCTCAATCAGGCCTTCGACGGTTTGGAAGCTATAGCGAGATTGCGAAGGAATGGGATTCAGAATCAAGAGATGGACTACCTAGCGAATACCAACTAGCAGAGGGAAATATTCCAACAGTAAGGAAAGAGATTTAGAGATTATACAGTATTTCCGCTAAGCCTACCCAGCGACCGATATACGCCCGACTCCTCTGATCACATCAATATTACCATGGCCATCAGCAGACTTTACTTTCCACCACCGATCACGCCCACTGCCCTCCGCTGAGCCGTGCCCCTACAGACAGGCGTCTCATCTCGTATCGCCTGCGGCGGGATGCGATACATGACCAGATACTCACCATAATGCAACCACTCCGCTGCTACCTCTTTGCTACCGGCGGCATCCTTCAGCAGGTCCGCAGCGCGAAACACTGGACCTCTAGCAAAGTGCGCGGGATCTACGGTAACAACCCAGGTGTCCTCGCCATAGCGCTCTCCGAAGTGCTTGGCGACGGCTTCTGCATGGGCTAGGTTGTCGTACACGCTGATGAAGGGGGAAGAGATGTTGGTTTGTTGGTTCAGGTGGGCGAGGCCGAAACGGGATAGTGCGGATGTGTAGTTGACGATGGTGGTTTGGTTCTTGGAACTGAAGCCGGTGGAGAAGGCGTAGCGGGTCTGCGAGCTGGTGCGGTGAACGCGGTAGACCAGTGTCGGTATGGCGGTTGGGGCGGGGGGTGGTGTCGGTGATGCATGGATCGGATGGGGTTGTGTAAGAGTGTAAAGTGCTATTTATCTATCAGTATGTTTATTCGGGGTGTCTGCGAGGGTTCGGAGGTTTACCTGTCATGATGGAGTTGCAATTGATGTGTCTTCAAAACAACGGGTTGTAGGGAATATGAGATTTTGCTGACTGGATATACTGTCCACGTCAAACCCACTTGTAGTGTCTTTGAGGTTTACTGAAAGTAATTGACAGACGACTCTGAATTGGGGGACTGTATGATGGAAGCTGCTACGTTCAAATAGAAGTCTTTTATGCCTCCATATGTTAGTTGAACGTACAGTCCCAAGAGACCGGTCAATGAGGCCGTTCAAACGGTACGAATGCATTTGAATCAGGAGTTCGTTGGTCATGTTGACTTTCCTTCCGCCGACGGGCATGTACATCGTTTCGTCTGTTCGAGTGTTGACTACCCGAGAGTCAACAAAGAGACAACGAGATCCCACGCTCGGTGCCGTCGGCAGGCCCAACCGGGTAGTGGGGACACGGTCACAATACATTTAGTCCTGAGGTACCGTACCGTTGCTACCTTTTTCGTTTGGTGACGGGGGTAAGGCCAGGTGCATGTGGAACGAATCGTCGGTGTCATTGCTTCGAATGCCCTTTCTCCATCGCTATCCGTTTGGTATGCAGATCGCGGTATCTTGCATGACCGCATAATGCGGATTGTGCATCAGGCGTATCGACGCGAAGGGCCTCTTAGCGAGGCACGTTTGGACTTCTAGCATACTCCGATGCGGAGAACACCGCCATGGATGATGGTTTGAGACCCTCGTGACAGCAAGGGACAGGCTATTGACGGAAGGTGCATCAGAAAACACATAACTGCAGACATAACGGGTTTGGTGTTTGACAAGAATACTGGATTCGACATGGAGACGTCATCTTTCCAAAAATCTGCTAGGAAAAGACTGGACGAAAGATAGAATTTTTGAGACATGGCTTTCTGTGCCGCTAGAAGCGTCAAGGCATCGGACCGATGTGTCGTTTCCTTGGAATCCAATATTGGGGTCGTACAGGCAAACGGGCATGCGCATACGTTGGAACGTCAGGCATCGCATCCCATTTGCCGTATGCGCCGTATTGTGAGAGAGGGACGTGCAGTCCCTCCCGAGTACCGAATGCGCATCGGGGATGGAAATTCACAGTACCGCCCACAGGGGCGCGGGAGGAAGGCGACCTGCGTGAAGTAGTGACGACACCTGTCGATAGGTTCTCACCGCTCCTTCTCCAGACGGCGCCGGTGGAATCGAGCTGACCATAACGCGATTGACATTCATGATGGAAGATGGGTGCGAAGACAGGAGTGAAGGTCCCACACGTGGTTCGGCATCCGCCCCGCGCGACTCTAGGCCATTTCGGGACAAGCGTCGCATTCCGAGGTCTCCAGAAGTCCGAAAAGTTGGTGGTGACAATCGCAGGCGCGCAGGCGGGCATCAACGTTACATCGCCACACAAACGGTATGTGAAGCTGCTCAAGACATAAACACTTCAATCTGACGTATCGGTAGTTAATTTGACTCCGTGTCGCCGCGGAGCCCACGCCAAACGCCACATCAAACCCATTCAAAGCCACTCGCAAACGCACCGAGACCTCGCATCGAAGCCACCAACCCTCTACATCACATATCCAACATGTCTTATTTCCGGATAACACTCATGCGCTCCGGCATCGGTATGCCCGAGAAGACGCAAGGAGTCCTCAAGGCGCTCGGTCTCCGCAAACGCATGACGACTGTCTACCACCCCGTCACACAATCTGTCGCCGGTCAGATCATGAGGATAAAGGAGTTGGTCGATGTTAAGGAGGTCAAGAACCCAATGACGAAGGACCAAATGCGCGCTGCGAGGAGACCCGATCCGGGGTACTATATCGAGCAGAGGGCGGGCGAGGCTATGGGGGCGTACGAATAAACGTGAAGAGATGGGAATGAGACGTGGTCTTCACATGTAAATTAAGGTGCGAAGAGGTATGCATATATGGCGTTTAGGGGCATGGTACTGCACGGTCAATCGAGGAAGAGCCTGATGTGCCATGAGCATCGTATACTCGGGAATGGAACAAATTATCCAGGGACCTCATCCTTCTCACAGATTGACACCCAGTTCCCATGTGTCATCGCTTCGAAATGATCCTTAGATGTCGGGTGGAAGTCGGAGTAGTCGGTCCTCGCGTGACCCATCGCATGAACCTGCCTACTAACTCGAGACCGTCAACAGCATGATGCAGTTCCATTCGCTACCAGAAATACGTATGTTTACCTCGCATCTACTGTACAAAATGCTATATCTCAAGCGAGGTATTCTCTTGATGGCCTCATTCATTCGCTTAGACAATCCTGTAGCCTGGCTGACACATCACAGCTGGAAACCCCGCATCAGGCTGCGTTGCGAATAGTCGCTTCTTTCGGTTTCACTGACCACCAGATAACTTAGCGGTGAACCGAACAATGAAGTTGATCACGATACGGGGGAACTATGAAGAACCCAAAATATTCTTTCCACCGCGAAGGGAGAAATCCCACAAAGCCGGAGAGGCGAGGCGATCATCTCTCTCAAACCCCGATACAACAAGATAATGGTCTCTTGCCTACTACGGCCCAGCAAGCCAGTGATCTTTTTCATGCTCTTCTAGGACCAATCAACCGTTCCTCCCATACTGCATATCAAAAGGTAGCTTCAACGAGAAGGCGGTTCGTGGTCGAGCATTGCTAACCTGCGCAGATCGACGCGACAAAAAAGAAGACCTTCGAGGAAACCACGCAGTCTATTCAGGAAACCCATCGAGAACAGCATTATGGAGGCCAGTCAGCGGATCATTTTACCATCACTGCCGAGGGCATCAAGCTTGCAGGAAGCATTGCGCATGCCGGTGTCGCTGGAGAAACTACATGGCCTGATTCGGATTTTGATGCTGCAGGGAGCAGCTCTACGAAGATTCCTAGGGCTGATTCAGATTTCGCTACTGCAGTGAGCAGCTCCATGAAGGTTCCTAGTGCAAGAGAGGTCGTGTATAAAGAGCTACAAGGAGCCAACGATTTTCGGCTTATCGAAGTATCTCCGGAGAATGGACGAGGTCCAGAGTGCAAGATGGTCTACAGTTCGCTTCGCCATCCACCCGATTATATTGCAATTTCGTATGCATGGGGGGATGGCTTTGATAAGAAACACATAACATTGGAAGGCATTGAACATGTTTCAGTCAACGCGAATCTTCACGATGCCCTAATGGCTGTCCGCGAACCAGACCACACTATTCTGGTTTGGATAGACGGGCTCTCAATTGACCAAGAGAACAAGACGGAACGCGCCAAGCAGGTCCAATTGATGGACAAAATTTACCGACAGGCAACATGTGTTGCCATTTGGCTTGGACCTGAAGCAGATGATAGTGGGCGGGCAATACGACTATTGACTGATTCGGCGGCCCAAGCGAAACGTAAATGGACCGGCCTATTGGAGCATCACAACGTCAAAGCTTTGCACTCTCTATTCAGGAGGAACTATTGGAGTCGGCTTTGGGTTGTACAGGAAGTATTCCATGCAAAGAAAAAGATAGTCTACTGCGGCTCTTCCAAACTCCCCTGGCACCTATGCAAGAAAGCATCAGATGCTCTTTGGCAACACGAAAGCGACCCTTACCTCTGGACTGGACCAAGTAGCTTTCCAGACGTTCAACGTCTCATGGTGTTGGGCCCAAACTCTCTGCTAGAAGTTTTACGAGCTTGCCGAAGGAAGCTAAGCGAGAACCCAAGGGATAAGATATTCGGTGTGCTAGGCATACTCCCAAACGATATACGCGAACGCCTACACGTGAGCTACGACAAATCCGTCAAGTCACTATACCTGGAAGTCGCCCAACTCATCGTCTGTTCCACGCATCGCCTTGATGTGATGCGCGAAGCGATTCACTTTCCTGTTCAGGTCAGCTTTACTGACTTGCCTACATGGTGTCCAAATTGGGCACAGGTTCCAGAAAACTCGGCTCTGTCTTCGAATACCTTCTCGGCGGCAAGTGACCGCGACGCTGAGTACAAGTTCAAGGACGAATTCCGGAAGCTTGAGATTTCTGCCGTCGAATTGGATATTATCGATACGACCGGTGTGGCGGTAGGCACTCTGTGCTCGCTACAAGATTATCTCATGGCCTTCCTGAACTGGCGGATGCTGCTTCTCTCTCATTTCGACATTACGGAAGACGAAGAGGCGGATCATCCGCGCGTAAATGAGTTCTGCAAAACGCTCTCATTAGGTCAGCCACTTGAAGAATTGGAGCATTGCTGGACAAGAGCCTGCTATTATATCTTCTCTTCATGGATTCAGGAGCGATTCCCGCGTCTTCAGCTAGACCCCAAGTTCAAGCAACAAGGGGAGTCGGACAACTTGCAACCCCATGAGCTACGATCATTCATACAACAATATTTTGGGGACAGAATGGTGCGTGCAATCTTCCACATCACTTTCTCTGCTGACGTATTGTAACATCTACAGATGGGTAGAACCTTTTGCATCACGAGAGACGGGTTGATAGGCATGGGAACGGGTTTCATGGGCCGCGAAGACATCGTCATTGTACCGTTTGGTTGTTCGACACCCATCATACTGCGTGCGGAAGGCGAAAGCAATGAGTATCGCTACGTTGGCGATGTATACATCCATGGTTATATGCATGGCGAAGCGCTCGCAAGCGACAAGCCACTGAAGCCAGTCAAGAAGTATACATTGCACTGAAACATCCATAGCTCATCAGATCTTTCTTTTGAGACTCCATCCAAACCCTCTACGCAACCACCACAGGCCCAATACCAAACAGATCCAACTCCCTATTCTGCACCCAAACACCCCTCGCAATGTTCCTACCAATCCACGGCTCCAGACTCCACCCCAACGCACCCACCATCCACAAAAAGCCCACCACCCGCCAAAACATACCATCCTTGAACCCCATCGCCTTCCCCAAGTCAATAACATGATCCTCCACCACAATAATCGCAGCCTGCAACAAAAAGCACTTCAACGCGCCGTCGTCATCAAACTCGCAATTCACCAGCATACTCGCCACCCCATGGACCAAGCCCGAAATACCAAACGCAACGAAAAGCTGAACATACTTGGACGCAAAAGAACCCTTGCGCAAACCCAGCACATCCCTCGCTAACCAAACACTAAGCGGAGAGCAAATCCGACGGCATTGCTGATGCCACACCACAGACCAAGCGCTGCGCACACTGTACAAATCGCGGAACCTACCAAACATGGAGGGGCAGTCTCGTGGATTAGCGAGACCGGTGGCTACGGATACAATGCCGTAAGCGATGTTGTAGAACTCCATGGTGGTGAATGTGAGCATGATATGAAGCCAAGTGTAGTAGAAGCGAGTGAGGAAGGGAGAGTCAACCGGGAAGGGCTGGTGTGGTTTCTGCGTGCGGATATCGATCCAGGAGCCGTGGGGGGATGCGGCGGAGTGGCAGACTATAATGTCTTTTATGACGAAGAAGATGAGGCCGCGTACGAGCTTTCGGGCGATGAATTTACTTGGTTGGGTTAGTTGAGTCGGGGATGATAGGTTGGGGGTAGACTTACAGACGAGGGTAGTCGCCCGGTACTTCCATGCACACATTCTTGACCTGACTACTCCATCCCGTGTAACGGCTCCACGTCGAGAGACGAAGAGCCCACCATGCTCTGCTCCAGAAACTTCTCCCTGCACCACCAGGTCTGTCTCTGTAATCCAGCTGTTTCACGTCGTCATTCTTCTTGTCATTTTCATCCTTCTCATATTGTATCTTGTACCACCCGTCTTTGTCGGGGCTCCCCAGTAAGATCCAGTCAACATAGGTGAACACACGAGCGCCCACTCCACAGTTGATTGCTAGGTTGTAGCCCCAACCTGCATCCCCCCATTCTCGGTAAAGAGATTGAGCGGCGAGGAGAAGGAGAAGAGGGAGAGTGATAGCGATACGAGGGAGGCGGTGATCGGGTCCGGTGGCAAGGGTAAGGATGTTGAGTAGGTAGAGAAGGGGTACTTGTAATGTTATGATGATATCGGGAAGTTTAAAAAGAGACATTGCTATGATGCCGGCTCCGCAGTCCAGGAGATGGGAAGACTGGACTTACTGCGCATCGGTACATTGCGGCATACGACGGAATTTATATAGAGTGGGATATGATGCTTTGACCGGCCGTAAGATCTTAGTGTTCGTGGGTCGATTAGGGATCCTCCCTACATGCTGGCTTGGCCCAATGAGATGGGTTCGAGTACGTTAGCGCTAAGGTCCGTGATTTCGGGACAATGTCCCTGACTAGTGCAGTCAGATCGCGAATAGAAGGCCGTGAACTGTCATCTTAACCGCAATGTGGTCTTGAAAATTGGTATCATTACAATGCTATAGTCGTGGTTGTAGTCAATGCTGCAGATGGGTAGCCAGGTCGACACGCTGTGGCATTCCAGATTTGACATGTCCTCTCAGCACCTCTACTAAATTTCCACATCTTGAAAACTGGCTCCATCGCCATCGTCTTCAGCTGATGCTTGGCCTGGCTTCGGTCTCTGTGGTAAACTTGCTTCCAGAGACTTCTCGTCGTTGGGCTCAGGCTCAGATTCGTCCTCCTCGCTATCCTCTTGCTGTGGTTCCTTCCCATTTTGCGGCTTGAGATCCTCGGTTCGAGCCTTTTGCTCTTCTGTCTGCGTCTTCGGTTCCACTGAGTTTCGCTCGCTCTTCTCGCTAACGTCGTCTTTGGGTGGCGGAGGGGGTGGCGCTGCACCGTCGGTATCGCGGTCACGCCTCGGTTGCTCGGGTGTAGGTGGTGTCACCTCGGTGCGCGGGCTCATGATTGGACTTCTGGGTTGCTGCTGCTGCTGTTGTTGCTGAGGCTGCTGTTGTGATTGCTGGGCGGGTTGCTGTGAGCCTCCTGGGCCGACGCTTCGTAACCTAGGGTCCGCGTTTAGGTAGTAACCCCTCACACCGACAATCCTGCCCTCCCTCTCGCAGCCTATGACCCAATCTGGGACAACTACAGGTATGTTGTTCTCGACCGCCTTCTCCCACGCAGGCCCTCTGCCTTCGGTGCATACGAAGTGCGTGGTGTCGATGCGCACATTGTCCGCGATCTTGGCGCCGATTCTTTCCACGGACCGCTGCAGAGACTCTCGGAGAGCCGCAGGCATGTGGCCAGGCGTGATGGTGATACCAGACAAGTCCGTCATCTTGTGTGTTTGTACCAAAAGCTTCTCGCTGCTGAAAGTGCCCGCGCTCGTTTTGAGGACCAAATGGAACTGATATTCCGTGTCGACAGCCAGACCACTCAGCTTGGTGCTGTGCACGTCACTGGGCTTGGGTATTGTGCCTGCCTTGTTGCCATTGCGGTATAGTGTGAGGCTGCGCAGTTCGGCGGTCGCGATATCGATAGGGTCCCATTCGAGAACGACTGAGGTTTGCGTGGCATTGCGGCATTTGAGGACGGGGGCTGAGGGGGTGCGCTGGCCAAAGGTGCGGAAGATGTCCGACTGGAGCTCATGGAAGGCTTTCTGGGCGTCGGCTTCGGCTTTGTAGTTTCTTCCAACATCGATATCCACCATGGAGCCCGACGAGATGTCGGGGGGTAGCAATATAGAAGGGAACTCAATCTACCTTTACGTCAGCCAGAAGAAGAGCAAGGATGCGCCTGCGCTGCGTTGAGCGCTGAGCGGCATTGAGGGGCTCACAAGACGCTTGTCTTCGGTCAGTAGCACTGCTACTCCAGCATCGACCTTTCCGACTGTGAGGGAGACGAGCATCTTGGGCGTGACTGTGTGAGGGTGTCGGACTTGGGAGACGTGTAATGTTTGGTAGAGCTGAGCGGCCGCGTACCTGACCATCAATGGTGCGGCCCGAAGAATCGCCGTGGCAGGCGCTAGCGGCCAGCTCTGGTCCACGCCTCGATGTTTTTCCATCAACACCATAGCAGAGCAAGCGCCATGGGAAGGTTACGCAGCGCCCATGGCGACCAAAGTGACATGATATAAGGCTACGAAGCCACCTGCACGATTCTAACTCGTCTCGACTTGGTGAATACGCAAAGGAAGCACCCGCAATTCACCTCGAGCACTAAATCCTTCGTTTGGACTTGGGCAGTAGGTAGTCTAGCAAACAGTAGTTCCTGTCACTCAAACAACCACGCCTGTTTTCTTCGATGCAGATGTCCCGCGATTCGAGTTCTGCTTGGTAGTATCACAATCTTTTAGCAAGCTTGCTACTCTTTGCATAGATCTCGTACAGCATTTGAATGGGAATCCTTACACTTGCCAGATTTCCAGCTCTGCGCCTGCAGGCATGCGAAAGAGGTAATTCATGCATCAGCAATTCACGACTAGCGATGATGACTTGGTCGGCTACTATGCAGAGTTCGGTCAACACGTGCACTAACATGATCGCTCGGTAGCGTTGTTGGATCCAGAGGTGAAAGTGAACTATAATGTCGTGGCTAGGAGTAGGACTGAGCCGCATTGTATGAGCGCTGCTCAAATGGGAATATCTGATCGATTCCGGTCAAAGTTCATGTAGGGCGACCAGACATGCCACACCGACTTCCCAGCCACCCTTGCGAGAGCAGTAAGACGCTCTATCGTATTCTTAAATTCCTCGGCTCGTGAGCATTGGTTTCATAATATCAAACTTAACCTTTTCTCACCGAAGACATGCAGCTGATGACGTCATTCATTACCATTGACCTTCTGCACATGAGTAGCCATACGGCTGGATATGTTTATGGCTACTCCGCGGATGTCGGTGATGCATCACGTGAATTGGCGTCTGGCGCGCAGGCTCGGGAACGCGACTATATGCATCCCAACTCTTGTACATAACTGTGCTGCATGCCGCGGAAGCAGGGACGACACCACGCTCCAAAGTCGATACGTGTGGCATGCGAATCCCCATGCCGGGATCCGCTGTCAGCACTCCACACCCCAGAAGGGCCTTCCGAAGCTGGCCAGGTCCGATCGGCGATGGCACGGTGGGGAGGACCGGAGACTAACGTCTTTATCGTGGTTGCTTGTTCACGGTTGGCGTCGCCCCCAGTAAGCGCGTTCAACACTTTGGCGCAGAGATTTTGAAAGCGGCTCAACAGATGGGCGACACGTGTAGCCGACGCTGCTGCAGCGGCGGGCATGGGCATTTCCAAGCTTCTGGCCAGCCTTTTTGCGGCTCGCTGGACATGGGATTGAAACCTGGCGGAGGAGGGCGTTAGGCTAGAGTGGGCTTAGGTCAGCCGTTCGCGATAAGTCCCGCGCTGCACGGTTGCCGTCCTATGATGCATCGCGAGTTCCTGCGTCCAAAGTCGGTGGTAGCCACCACCAAGACACGCGCCTTGACAAAATCCCGTCCGCCTTCTGTCTCTTCCTCGATGCACACCACCTCCAAACATTGGACTCCCTCGCCATCAGCGTCTCTCATATACATTACCCCACCTACTTCTTCTCCACTATCTTGATCGTCTGAGTTACCCCATTGTTTGCTCCATACTACCTGCAGGAAATAATTCCTTCGACGCCGCTGCACGCGCCAACGCCCAAACCTCACTTGCTGTCTGCCGTCAACACTCCTCCTACACCCCTCCGGCACACATTGTCACCATGGTTCTCATTGAGAATCAAGAGTACCTCTGCGAAGAGGAGAAGCGTCTGAAGCAGGACCGAGAACGCACCGCCTACTGGAAGCGATGGGGCCCCTACGTTGCCGAGAGGCAGTGGG